CAACTACTTTTAACAACATAAGAGAAAGAAGATTCCGGTTTACTGGACACATCCTGAGAACATACGAGCAGATAATCACCAAACAGGAACTGATATGGGAAATAAGAGGATTAGGGAAATGAAACGTTAATAAAAGAGGTGTCGGACAGGATTTCACCCATGATATCGAAACGATTGCACAATATGGCACGGGATAGAGGAATAGACTGCGAGCTCTTAGTGACATATAATGGTACAACAGAAAAAAAATTTAATGTTTGAACTGAATGTTCGTATGTATGTATATATATATACACATACACACACACACACACACACACACACACACATATATATATATATATATATATATATATATATATATATATATATATAGACACACACATACACACACACACACAGAGCGAAAGATACACTCTTGGAAGCACCCTATTTACGTTCAACTTTTATTCATGAAAGAATTACACACTCTACTGTAGTTTGTGGTGAGATGTCGGCCGCAGTAAAACCAAATATTTTGTGTACAGCTTGATTATATAGAGCCTATGTTTCTTTATGGACTGGTGTGTATATATGGTGTTGTTATGTGATGCGGATGTGTGATGCGGATGTGTGATGTGGATGTGTGATGTGGATGTGTGATGTGGATGTGGTATGTGGAGGTGAGATGGAGCCAGGTAGACATTAGCCTCTGTATAAGTAATTCACAGTTCCACACAACTACATTAAACACCCACACCGCGCAACAACACAGCCACAATAGACACGTATACCACACATCACATAGCTGCACTCTGAGCGGTCTTCTGGCAATACTTCAGTCCACAGCTCTATATCTAAACCATATCAACATCTAGTGAAATGTGCAACCGCCAGTCACACTGAAAATATGGTGATAAAATGCAAGATGCAAATTTCAGATTCGTTAGTCAAAAAAAAAAAAAAACCACATGAAGCTGTTGCCTCATCATTGTAGATCAGTTACGCCATATAGTCGCTGATATCTGGGTGCAACATGATACTCTCACACTGAAGATTAAATCAATAGTCCGCCACCTGCTGTGACATTTAGTGTCAAAACCTTTGAACCAGTTAGGCCACGGGTGACGGAACCAATAGCAGCATAATGTAATCCTGTTTAACTGATAGTGATCATTTGTAGTGTTGTTGTTTTTTTTTTTTTTGTGCTGAATTTTTTTTTCTACTCTATTTACTTGTCCGACTTTGCAGAGGATAGTGAAAGCAAATTTTTATTCTCCTATCTTTAACTTCATCTTTGTCTCCACTGCTGTGTAAGTTTAGTCAATACCTCTCGTTATTACCAGTATCAACACTGTTATCAAAATGATTATTAAAACTAATATCAATATCATCAGTCCAATTCTTCTTCTGCCTTTCAATCCCCCAATGGAGCATAGGCCCTCAACCAACTCACGCCAAGTCGTTCTAACCTTCGCCATTGCATAGAGCTCTCCCCATGTACTCCCAATCTTTCTAACCTCATTCTCCAGCTGTCTTCTCCATGTGTTTTTTGGCCTTCCTTTATTCCTATGCCCCTGTGGGTTCCAATGCAAAGACATTCTATTTATGCTGTTCTCCTGTTTTCTCAGTGTGTGCCCTATCCAACGCCAGCGTCTTTTCCTCACCTCTTGGTCCACTTGAGCCTGTTTAGTTCTCTCACAAAGTTCTACATTAGTTATTCTATCATTACATTTAATTCCCTCTATTCTGCGCAGGCACCAGTTAATGAATGTCTGTAATTTTTTAGTAATTGCCTTGGTTGTTCTCCATGTTTCCGCCCCATACAACAGTACTGATTTGACATTAGAATTAAAAAATTTTAGTTTAGTATTTCTTTTAATTTCTTTTGGCCTCCACAAATTCCCTAGTGTTTTGAAAGCCCCTCTTGCCTTTTGTATTCTTATTTTAATATCTCTATCAGTTCCTCCATCTTTATCTACATTACTGCCTAAATAGGTGTACGACTCCACGTCTTGGAGTGGGGTGCCATTAAGAGAAACCACATTACTATTTGCCTAATTTATTCTCATTATCTTTGTCTTTCCTTTATGGATTTTTAGACCAATCTGCTGTGATCTCGCATCAAATATATTTAATTTATATTGCATCTGATTCCGTGAATGGGACAGAAGTGCAATATCATCAGCAAAGTCCAGATCATTAAGCTGTTTTGTAGGGATCCACTGAATTCCATTCTTGGTGTTAGCAGTTACTGTTTTCATAGTCCAGTCTATAGCCAGTAGAAATAAGAGAGGCGACAAAAGACATCCCTGTCGCACACCTGTTTTTATTTCAAATGCATCTGTTAGCTTTCCCTAATGAAGAACTCGACATTTCATGTCTTTATATGTTGCCTTGACTAAGTTGATAATTTTCAGTGGGAATTCCATAGTGCCCCATCAATTTCCAGAGAGATTCCCTATCAATGCTGTCAAATGCTTTTTCATAGTCTATAAATCCAAGGTAAAGTGGTGAGTTCGGTTCAATGCTTTGCTCTAAAATATTACGTAATGTAGCTATCTGGTCAGTACAGGATCTGTTTGACCGAAAACCTGCCTTCTCATCTCTTAGCGTTTTATCAATAGCATCTTTTAATCTTTCCAAAATAATTCTACTTAATATTTTTCCAGGAACTAACAGCAACATAATTCCTCTATAGTTTTCACACTCTTGTAGATCACCTTTTTTGTGCAGTTTCCCAAGATATCCATTTCTCCAGTCTGCTGGTATTTCTTCGGTCTCCCAGACTTTACTGAATAATCTATGTAGCAATTATGTTGATGTGTTTATGTTGGCCCTGATGGCTTCAGCTGGGATACCATCTGGGCCTGTCGCCTTTCCTTGAGAAGATTGATAGCTGTTCTAATTCCTCTTTGGATGGTAACTCACAGTTGATATCCAGTTCCAATTTTAAAGGCTGGATATCTGAGGGAACCTCTGGGCCTGGTCTATTTAGAAGCATTTCAAAATATTCAATCCATCTGTCCATTTGATCTTTAGTGTTAGTAAGTACCTTTCCTTGACTATTTTTGATTGAGCCAGTTGGCTGACTATATTTACCTACTAATTGTCTTGTGTTACTGTAAAGTTCTCTGGGGTTTCCTTTTGCTGTTGCTGTCTCCGCTTCTCGTGCTAGATCATTTATATATTTCACTTTATCTGCCTTTATTCTAAAAACATCTAACTTCCTTGTTTGCTCCTGGGTATTTCTCCTGAGCTCTAGCTTTAGCAGCTCTAGTTTTGCTATTGTTTAATTCTGTATTTTTACTTTTCCCATCTTCAATCAGTTTAATGGTTTCTGGTGTTATCCATGCTTTCCTTTCTTTCTTGCCAAGAACTTCTACGCAAGATTCATTCCAGATTCCATTGATCTGATCCCAGCAGACTTCTGTGCTGACATCTTCAGCTAACAGCTGCAACACCTGGTACTTATTAGAGACCGTAACTGAGAACTGCTCCTTAATTTCTTTATCTCTGAGAAAGCCTACATTATATTAGTTTCTATGATTATAAGATGTTATATATCTTTTATCGCTAATTTATTTTCATAATTAACGTTACTATAAGTATTCTAATTTTTGCTATAGTTATTTTGTTTTCATTATAAACATCACTATAACAGTATTGAGATGATCTACATTGTTCTACGTTATAATACTACTGGAAAGACGAAAAGGTACCAAAACATTTCCATACGTTGAAATATACTCAACACTGGGTACTAACAACATATCTGTGTTGATCTATTTGCACATATGCCCTGAACTTCAGCGTAAAGTCGACCTGGAATTCGATTTAAACTGGAAACAAAGTTGAACTCGAGAGTTTAAGCTCAGAAGTTTGTCTGAATTAATCCTATGCCTAACACAATTTATACCTGCCAATTATTAAGTCGACCTCTAATTTTTGAAAGATTTTATACCTTAATTGCGTGACTGTGTATGTATGTATTTATGCATGTATGTATGTGTGTGTGAATTGATGACAGACAGGCAGACAGATATGCAGGCAGGCAGACAGACAGACAGACAGACAGACAGACAGACAGACAGACAGACAGACAGACAGACAGACAGACAGACAGACAGACAGACAGACAGACAGACAGACAGACAGACAGACAGACAGACAGACAGACAGACAGACAGACAGACAGACAGACGGACGGACGGACGGACGGACGGACGGACGGACGGACAGACAGACAGACAGACAGACAGACAGACAGACAGACAGACAGACAGACAGACAGACAGACAGACAGACAGACAGACAGACGGACGGACGGACGGACGGACGGACAGACAGACAGACAGACAGACAGACAGACAGACAGACAGACAGACAGACAGACAGACAGACAGACAGACAGACAGACAGACAGACAGACAGACAGACAGACAGAAAAAATGAGCATAGCTAGATGGCTGATTTGAATTCCGGCATATAAATACTGTTTTCAATGTTTATATTGTTTAATGTGTCAACTTTTCTGTATTTTCTTTCTTTGCTGGAATGAGTTTCAAAGCGTGTTTAGTTTTTATTTTCATTTTCCTGTATGTCCAGACGACAGTGGTTTACTGAGCTTTTTGAAGGTACGAGAATCACAGCCTACGGTGGGGCTAAAAAGACCCGCCCACGTTATGATAAGTTTTCTAATAATTGTACATTTATGGCTCATGCCATTTCGATGACATCAGAAGTTGCCCAGCGGCTCATAGGTGGACACTCAAAGAGACACACATGGAGAAAACCATAATGACAGTGTGCACACACAGCGCGTACTGACGTATACAATCTATAGAGTGAGAAACATAGGAGTGAATTTCTTGCAGTCATCCAGCACTTTAAAGCAAGGTTTAGACTAATGACAGGGAGAAAAGGGCAACGCTCACTGGCAATGTTTCAGTAAAACGTTTAATTGTCACGTCTGCTTGTCTCAGCAGCAAAAGATGTCAGATGTGGCTACTCTATCGCATCTACAGAGACACCAAAAACCCGTTGAACATGGCGCTGCTACCCGCACTTTCTCCATAGAGAAAAGACTCCCAAAACGCTTTCACATAGACTCTGTCACGTGACTTCAACCTCAGAAGGATAGAATTCGCTGTAGATGGATTTACATGAAACAACGTGATGATACAATGATTATGTGTAAAGATATCGTCATACTCATGATCTTAGTCATAGTTATCATTACCGTAATCCCAACACCATCATTATAATAATCATTATTGTCACTCCAAAATTAACTTATCAAAATCTAACAACACTTTACAACATGATGCTGTCCATAAAATGGGATCATTGACACCTCAATGGCTCAGTGGATGTTTGTTTCTAGACTGTTTGTATGGATCAAACGGTACTAGCTGGCTTATGCGGTAAACATCACTCGTCTTCTTTCCTTCCCAGGACAATTCCATGTAGCCATTTGGACCCGGGCAGACCGCGAAGCCAAGACCTCAGGAATAGTAGACATTTGTCAATGAGCCGCTAAGTGAATAAAACAAACTAACTATGTATTGACCCCATGTACAAACCAGTTTCTTTGTGCATAGATTGTCTTTATTTACTTACTTTATGTTTCTATGTGCACATATCATGCTTAGGAAGTTGCATCTCCTGTTTCTCTATGCGAAGATCACAGTTTTTTTTATATTACCTGTTTTTTGAAGACTGTAAACTTCCTAGACATTGAACTTGTTCTCATTACTTAAACATTTATTTTACCGATCTAGTTTAATTGTATGCAGACTGTTAGTCCATTGAAACGTCTATCCTATCTACACTCGAAAGGCTCCAGTTAGAAATCTATCTCTTAGGTGACGTCAGAGATGTGTGGATAAATCTCTACCAGCATTTGTCCTAGGCTTGGAGCATTACCACGTGTGGATCATCACCTCTGCATCCCCCTCTGGTGATTACATTGGCAGCTTTCCTCGAGTTTGTTTATGTGTGGTTATTTTAAGCATGTGAGGTTTTCATAGTGTCAAATATTGCAGCTTATAGCTTATATAGTATAAACATGGTATTTAACACTGTTGCTTGCGTACATAGGTCAGTCCAAATGTCTAAGTGTCCGTGCTAGTCTGTGTGTAAATGCACGTGATATAACCTAAAGATACAGAAGCAACATTCTTCTGTCATCTCATCTTGTTTGACTCTTAGCAGATCCTAAAAGACTCTCCTTTGTAAATCGACCCTTTAATATTAAAGTTCACCCATCTCATTACCATTCTCATTACAAAAGCGATAATATCCTATAACACTAAATGCCACCATGAGGATGAGAATCACCAGTGGAGAGGTCACAGAAACCCCTTTCAGCTGCCAGGCCATATTTATGGCCCGACTATATTTAAGGCCGCCGGCAAAAGCCAGGGTGGGACCATAGATAACGAAATATTGCATCTAACATGGCGACGATTGATACACTGAGTATTCATTGCGATATAAAAATTTATGTCTTTTACTTTTTACCATGTCGTGGGTTCAAATTCGAATGGGGCAAGACTCTTTTTAAAAAGACCTTGGCTCCAATGTTGATACAGCCTTGTGTGGGTAGCAGATAAAGTCCTTCGAAGTAAAGGCAGACGGCGTAATGCTGACGACATCACTTACCAAGTGTCGATTGGTCTATAAAATATAGTTTTATTCTCAACACACACAGGGCGTTAGTCTGGAACTACCATATAACGTTAACTTCTTCTTCTTCTTTTCCTTCTTTCTTCTTCTTCTTCTTCTTCTTCTTCTTCTTCTTCTTCTTCTTCTTCTTCTTCTTCTTCTTCTTCTTCTTCTTCTTCTTCTTCTTCTTCTTCTTTTTCTTCTTCTTCTTTTTCTTCTTCTTTGGCGGCAGACAGACAGTTATTCTTTTGATTCTGGACGTTTCAGAATTTGCATTTTACGTGCACATCCGTTTTACAGATCTGTTGAATTGCATACAGACTGATGTCTTGGCCTCTTCGGCAGATGCAGTCCTACTTTAAAGTGGCCTCTTACAACATACCTGGTGGGAGGAGTTGGATAGTAGGTATATTCATTTCCCCCTAAGTTGGACCTTAGAGCCTCCGGGAAAAGGGTGATATTGAAATATGCGTATATGCACAAATAAAACAGTTACCCCCGGAGAGAGCACGATTCTCAGCATTCCCAAAGATTTTGATTACAGGCTCTTCGTTGTGGTACATGTTAAGACCGAAATATTTATACCTTTGAGATGTGGCGCTGATGCTGAAGTAGTACAGACCAGGCTGGAGAAGACAGCAAGGGCAATAATATGTTGCGGTTTCTGGCATTTAAATAAACTGTTGCGCTTTTGTTATTAAGTAGTGTGAAGGCACTATTTCTGAAAATAGTCCAAACTCCGTCAGGACCTGAACTATCGACCTTCTGATCCACAGCCGAGCGTCTAGCCGATACACAACGGAGGCTCTTGTATTTGTTGTATGCTCACAGTTTGAAACTAGCACAGCCTCTAATCAACTCTCTCTCTCTCTCTCTCTCTCTCTCTCTCTCTCTCTCTCTCTCTCTCTCTCTCTCTCTCTCTCTCTCATCTCTCGTCTCTCTCTCTCTCTCTCTCTCTCTCTCTCTCTCTCTCTCTCTCTCTCTCTCTCTCTCTCTCTCTCTCTCTCTCTCTCTCTCTCTCTCTCTCTCTCTCTCTCTCTCTCTCTCTCTCTCTCTCTCTCTCTCTCTCTCTCTCTCTCTCTCTCTCTCTCTCTCTCTCTCTCTCTCTCTCTCTCTCGTCGTCTCTCTCTCTCTCTCTCTCTCTCTCTCTCTCTCTCTCTCTCTCTCTCTCGTCTCTCTCTCTCTCTCTCTCTCTCTCTCTCTCTCTCTCTCTCTCTCTCTCTCTCTCTCTCTCTCTCTCTCTCTCTCTCTCTCTCTCTCTCTCTCTCTCTCTCTCTCTCTCTCTCTCTCTCTCTCTCTTTAAATGCCATACCGTGTAGCGATGGTAGTCAAGGTTATTAACAACCCTCAGTCTCGTGAATTTGGAATTTTTTGTCACACAGTTGAGCTTCCATGTCATGATGTCTCAAACTGTTCAGCATTTCTTCGCTCTGTCTCTTCTCCTCTATCACGATGTACTGCAGTATTATCCTCATGGCGCAAACACAGAATTCAGATTGTCTCCTACTGATATGGGCAATCAGTTCTCTTCAAGAGTCAACTTTTTTCAAAACATCTTCATTAATTTTGATAACTTCCTAGTGTGTTCTCATCATTTGTCTATAAAACCAAAATATCTAAAGCGAATTTTGTTTTTTAATTAACAATGTTTGTGTCATCGAGGCTAAAAAGATTTTTCAAGACACTGAGCCAAATGAGCATATAATTTATTTTTTTGCCTCCGCACTGTTTACTCGATTGCGGAGGTTATTCTTATAGAGCAACCGAGACTCGATGGGTGATGTTGTCAAAACCATGTGACTCCTTTTTCTTCCTACTGACATTGCCTGGCACTAACTTTAATGCTGTAAGCCAAGGTAAATTTTGAAGAATAGCAACAACAACAACAGTAACAACAACAAAACTGCAGCTCGAACTTAAGACTTTCTGCTGTCAGGCGACAGTCAAACACTTACGCTACCACGACTTTATTATTTATTAGTTTTTTTTTTCTTTTTCTCAAAGAAAACTATTTATTTTCTGTTTCACTACAAGTCATTTCGAAGTTTGAAAGGTGGAGAGGGAGAAATTTCTAATGACTGATTATTTAAAGAAGCGTGACTAGTGCAGTCGTCATGCATTGTGCAGGTAGGATTATTGTCTGATTTCAACGCGATTGGCTCGGGGAGAGGTGGGAAAAGGCGAAAAGGGGGGGGGGGGGGAGGGGAGATTTTGATTACGATTAAATGTGTAGAATTTGTGGTTTAAACAAACGTTAACTATAATGAAAGAGGGGATAACAGGGACAGGTGAAGACGCTTGTTGTTGGTACCTTTCCGAGGATAGTGTTGCACTGTGCTCCAGGCGGGCATAGGAATCCCACTCATTGCAATGGAGAGTGTGACCAGTTCCTCCTTTCTATAGCAGAAATCCTGAGCCGTATTCTTGAGACCTTGTGTTACCCATGCACCATGATCCCTCCTTTAGCACTTCTTGTATAAAGTTAGTTGCGTATCCTTTACAGGACGTTGCAGAACCAACCCTAACAGTCCCTGGCTGTTCTGTGGTTTCTCAAGGCAATTTACATCCAGTAGTTTGCATTGCTTTCTGGACGGTTGGCTTTCTTGATACCACTGTCGAAACCAACGCAAGGCGCATGGCCCGCAGCTGGGATCGAACCTGGTATCCCGGCATTACGAAGCGAAGCGTTTGCATCGACTTAGCCACAGAGCCGACACGTCTTGTATACATAACAGAAAAGTAATATCAATTTGTAAAAAAGAAAGCCTGCTGCAGACGCTGTCGGATCAGAGGTGCTCTGTCCGCCCACCTTTATGTGTTGTTCTCCTATATCAACTGCCAGCTAAGGTCTTGGTCTGCCTCTAAGTGAAGACGCGAGCCAGAAACAAACGGGTCAGACAAACGCTTACCTTGGTGGCAGTAAAGATGCCAGTGTTACTGTCGTAGCCGTCACCGAAGTTGGTGAAAACTTTCGTAAACTTGACAGTATCACCCACTGCGAATGTCTTGAAATCAGGAATTCCAGCAGAGAAGGCAACAATTCCTTAATAAACAGTAACACACATATTTGTCAGTGCACTGTCCTGTAGCAGCAGGTTGTGATATGTCGGTTGTATCAGGTATAATAAATCAATAAGAAGAACTTCACAGAGGAGCATGTACAGCAGGTGTCTACTAACTTTCAGTAGAAGATCCCTCGTCAACAATTGTTTCGGTCCATTAGTTCCTAGACAACTACAGAGGGTGGGCCGACCTAGGTCATGACTCCAAGGCCTTGATCTTCTACTGCTGCACTTTACCGGATATTCTCGGCAGGGACAAGTCAAAAATGGTGACAATGCAACGGGTACTAGGCTACCAAGGACCGTCCCCATAACGTTCCGTTGCGTCTAGAACCAGCTCGAATCACTTTCAGCAAAGTCACCTAGTTGTGTTAGTGATCGTTTGTGCTCGTTTCCCCCCAAGCCCAGCTGCTTAAGCCCATTGAACATGGCAGTGGAGATAAGATCTCTTGTGCTTACCTCGACGGCAAACGATTTTTACTACGTACGCTTCGTCTCTCCTTAAACCAGCCGCGAGATCATTGTACTTTTCGAGCTTGTACATGTGATTTTTGTCCATTCGCAACTCACACTGTACGGTCAGCCCAATCAGGATGAGCTGGCGTTTCTCCGCAGAGTGCAGGACTATGTCTGGTCGCAGGCCGGTCTTCAAGACAACCAAAGAAATAATATTACAATAAATGAGTGTCAATGTTGTCTGCAAGTAAACCATAGCTGTCTAAACATTGTATCCCCATAGATTAGTGAGTCAGCTGCAGTATGCAGGTGTTCCTCATCATCATCATCATCATCAACATCATCATCTTCCTTTGTGTGCCGTTATACGTCACACAGAGCTCGAATTCACTACACGTATTGCGCCCTAGTGCCTGAAACTCTCAATTTCTGTCATGGAGTTTAGCCCAGCGTTCTTAGCTTCTCATAATAATGTCCTTTTCAATGGTTATCTTAAACGTCGTCTTGTTCTCAGACCGTTTGTTTTATGTTTTAGTGCTTGTTTTGTAATTATTTACTGGTATCGTCTCGGAGTGTGCCCATTAAATCATAGGGAGGTCATTACAAGGGAGGTCAATCCGGCCGATAAGGGCAGAAAGGAAACCCGCCGATGTGCAGGAAGGAAACATGCCGATGTGGACAGGAAGGAATCATTCTATGAACCCAAGACACAGGATGGTTATGCGAAAAACAACAAAGCAGTCAAAAGCATCATCACAACCTTTATTAAGGAAGATCTTCTACCTGCCGGATTAAGTTCTCTATTTGTCGAGGAAAGCTGTCGGGGAAAGCCAGCCCTTCTCTATATGGCTCCTAAGATACATAAACCTGACAACCCAGGCGGACCGATCGTGTCCGACTGCGCCTGACCCACAAAACTCGTATCTGAGTTCCTTGACCGCATATTGCAGCCCCTGGTCGCTTGTCTCCTCTTTTATGTCAAGGGAACCAACCATGCTTTTTGTGCCTGTAAATCGAACCGGTTAACCTCTTTTTCCAGGTATCACATCTTCACTTTAGATGTAATCTCACTCTACACGTCTTCTAAAGGTCTCAGCGCCTCGGTGCACTATAAACCTTCTGATTACCATGCTTTTCTTTCCTACACGTCATTACTGACATATGTTTCAGAAACAGCATTTACAGACATATCATTCTGTCAGAGATAGATAGATAACTTACCGACGGACTCTACGTACGCGACGGAAAATGCAGTGCAGATGACGAATATGATGAGACGCATGGTGTCAACTTTCTGTGGGTGAGAGCATGTTGAAAACATCAGTGTTAGATTGTGTACAACTTGCCTATACAATAATATCCTTAAGTTTTATGTGCCTTTTTGTTTACTTCACAATTTTTTGATTTCCATTTAATAACCTAGGTACTTTACTTTTAAATTATACCAAACAAAGGAATCCGGGATTTCCTCTGAACGTCTAAAAAAAACTAGTTGATGTTGGATTTAGGGTTGTTGTAGCCTTAAGGTTAGGGTTAGTTTTGGGTTATGGTTAGTTATAGTGTTAGTTATAGGGTTAGGGTTAGTCATAGGGTTAGTTATGTGGTTAGTTATAAGGTTAGGGTTAGTTATATGGTTAGTTATAGGGTTAAGGTTAGTTTAAAAAAAGTTATAGGGTTTGTTATATGGTTAGTTATATGGTTAGTTATAGGGTTAGTTATATGGTAAGGGTTAGTTATAGGGTTATGGTTAGTTATAAAAAAAGTTATAGGTGGTTTAGTTATAGGGTTATGGTTAATTACAGGGTAAGGGTTAGTTATAAGGTTGCGGTTAGTTATAGGGTTATGGTTAGTTAAAAGGTTAGGGTTAGTAATAGAGTTTGGGTTAGTTATAGGGTTATTGTTAGTCATAGGGTAATGGTTAGTTTATATGGTTAGGGTTAGTTAGAGAGTTATGGTTAGTTATAGGGTTATGGTTAGTTATAGGGGTTATGTTTTGTTATAGGGTTAGGGTTAGTTAGAGAGTTATGGTTAGTTATAGAGTTATGGTTAGTTATAGGGTTATGTTTTGTTATAGGGTTAGGGTTAGTTATAGAGCTAGTTATAGGGTAAAGTTTATTTATAGGGTTAGGGTTAATTATAGTGTTAGTTTTAGGATTAGAATTAGTTATAGAGTTAGGGTTATTTATAGGGTTATGGTTAGTCATAGGGTTAGGGTTAGTAATGGTGGTAGGGTTAGTTATAGGTTTATGGTGAGTTATATGGTTATGGTTAGTTTTTAGTATTCATTCTAAGTTTAGGGCTATTTATATAGTTATAAGGTTACTGTTAGTTATGGATTAGTGTTAGTTATGGGGTTATGGTTAGTTTTAGGGTTAGGGTTAGGTATAGGGTTACGGTTAGTTACAGGAAACGGTTAGTTATATGGTTATTATTATTATAGTGTTAGGGTTAGTTATAGGGTTATAGTTAATTATAGGGTTAAGGTTAGTTATAATGTTAGTTATAGGGTAAGGGTTAGTTATAGGGTAATGGTTAATTATAGGGTTATGGTTAGTTTTAGGGCTTGGGTTTTTTACAGTGTTATGGCTAGCTATATGGTTAGGGTTAGTTATAGGGTTAGGGTTAATTATATAGGTATCGTTTGTTCTATGGTTATTTCTTTTTATAGGGTTAGTGACAGTTTTAGAGTTAATTATAGAGTTGGGGTTAATTACAAGGTTAGTATTTTGGTTATAGTTAGCTATAGGGTAATGTTTTTTATTGGGATAAGGTTACTTATGCAGTTTTGGTTAGTTTTTAGTTGGGGTTAGTTACACGGTTAGTTTAAAGTTTAGTTGTAGGGTTATGGTTATAGGTTTAGTTATAGGGTTAAGGTTAGTTATGGGTTAGGGTTAGTAATGGGTTACGGTTAGTTATGGGATTTAGGGTTTGTTATATTGTTAGGGTTAGTTATAAGTTTTAGTGTTAGGTTTAGCTATAGGATTATGGTTAGTTATAGGGTTATGGTCAGTTATAGGGTTAGTTATAGGGTTATGGTTAGTTAGGGGGTTATTGTTAGTTAATGGGTAATTTTTAGACATATGGTAAGGTTTAGTTATACAGTTATGGTTTGTTATAGGATTATGGTTAGTTATAGGTTTAGAGTTAGGGTTATGGTTATATTTAGTTCTATGGTTAGGGCTAGTTATAGGGTTATGGTTAATTATAGGGTTATGGTTAGTTATAGGGTTGGGGTTAATTATGGGGTTAGGGTCAATTATAGGGTTATGGTTAGTTATAGGGTTAGGATTATTTATAGGGTTAGTTATATGGTTATGGTTAGTTAAAAGGTTAGGAATGTTTTAAGGTTTTTTTTAGTTAAATGATTAGTGTTAGATAAAGGATTAGGGTTATCGTTATGGTTAGTTATAGGTTATAAAGTTATAATGCTATAGTTATTCATAGGTTAGGGTTATTTTTATTGTTAATTATAAGGTTAGGGTTATGGTTAGTTATAGGGTTAGGGTTAGTTATAGGGTTAGGGCTTGTTTTCGGATTTATTATAGGGTTAGGGTTATGGTTAGTTATAGGGTGAGAGTTAGTCGCTGACTCAGAAGCAGTCGCGACTGACAAATAACCCCACTCAATAATGCCACTAGAATATTGGACTTTCCCGGGAATTCCAGCATTTTCTTTGTTTACGCTGACTTTTATTAACTTACTAAAGACTCTACTTAGGCCTTTCCGTCAATTTCAAATTATCGACATAGGCGAGACATTTGTGCAAAATTGAACGATTGTATTAACATAAAGTCTACAGTCACATATATATTGAGGCATTGTCAATTGATAATAAAATATCAACACAACACTAAGAACCCACGACTGTGTCTAAGCGAGCCATTCTCAGGGTCACTGTTATGGCAGGTTATAATTGTACTGCTTTCTTGTGGGGTATGGGAGTTTAATGTGTGTATTGCCTGGATGACCTCTCAGTAAGCTGAGTTCGGTAGGTGTGTTCTTGTCTCGCATTTTAAAAATATTGCTTAAAGCTGACCCTACTGTGATGGTCAATTTACTATTTTAGAATTCAGTTTATTTTAAAGTTAAATAGGGTGCATTAAAAGTAGCAGCCTGCTGGGTAGAATTAAGAAGTATTTTAACTATCTTTACATTTAAGCACTGGGAGTCGCTGTGATGTTAGCTGCTTGACACCCGCCTGC